TAGGTGACTGGCTCTTTGATGTATGATGATGCTTGGTGCCTTGAAGATAGAAGAACGCTTTAAATGCTCCGTTCACTAAGTGCAGTTGGCCTTTCTGCGCGTCACGCTGCACTGAAAAAAAAAAAGTTGCTGGATTTGCGTAAAAAAGTTATGGACAGCGGTTGCAGGCAATAAAATTATGTTTAGGCTTTGAAACTTTTTTCGAACCCCTCTACACATATTTTTCTCGGAACATGAACATCACTTTTTCATGTTGATGAAATTTGAATAAATCATGCTGAATATGCATATTTATCTTATGGTACCTTATCATGAAATGTATAAGTATGTATGATTTAATTTAATTGATCTAATTCTGTAAAAGAATACAAAAACAGTCTTTAGTTTTCCACAGATCTGTATTGTCTTAAACAGAATCAAACACAAAGAGAGCACAGGGACAGAGATACACAGTTTGGAGCTGGACAGTGTGAAGATTTATTCCAGTGAAGAAGCTCTGGTCTCTGCCTGTGGACACAGAATAACACATGATGATCACATTCTGATGATCTACTCTGTTGTACATGTTTAAATACATTTAAAGCACTTATTACTACAATAACAGACCAGAACAGAAGAACAAGAACATTAGAACTGTATCTGCAGAAACAAAACTCACCATGTGCTGCTTTTCTTCCTCTAAACACAGTAACAGGGAGGGCATCTGGTATAAAGTCTCCTAGTGCCACATCACCTTCTACAAGTACGATAACAGTTTCAATAGGAAGTTCATTTTGAAAAATTTAAAATAATTTTAGTTGGTTTACTTACTTTGTTCATCTGTGGTCTGTGTTTTGTTGGTTCTCAAACATCTTCCTTTTTTCTGAAACATCAGCTGTAACATTCATGAACTTCCCCACAGCTCCAGCAGAGCTCTGGACGTCACTCTTTGTAGACGACTCTGGAACAAACACATTCAAATCTTAGTACAACTGTCACACCCTTGTAGATGGACAGTCAAAAACAATTTGTTTCAAGGAGTCCTTACATTAACTTTAATTTCAAATAAAACAACACAAACATGTTTTAACAATGACGACATTCTAGGCCGGAGAAGCACATAATAAAATCTTTGAAAAGTCTCACCTCCAGATCAGCTCTCATAATCCTCCTGCTCCACACTGTGTGTCCTCTGCTCCTGGAACTGTCCTGTGTCCTGCTACATTTGAATTTTCCCTCCAAAAGTTTTGGGCAGGAGAATTCCAGAGGGAGGAGCCTCACCAGAAATTATAATAAAGTCATGTTTCCTCAACCTGATTAAAACATGCAAGTCTCACATCGGCCACAATCAAGCGATGTTTGTAAGATTTAAACATGCTTGACAGAGAAACATAAAAAAGTGATGTTATTGTTGTCAAATTTGTTTTTGCAATTTGAGCAACCCCTCTCGGACCATTTTTTCAGTGTGTTTACTCCCAAACATGGCAGAGAAGAGTCATCTCTGCAGAACTCAAAGCCATCCCGCAATATATTTTATGTCACATGGCACACTTACTGCTTAATATGCCAAATACAAACGTATGCCTTCATATGGAGCCCACAGGAACACAGGGCACACACACACAGAAACACTTCGACACCTTCAAATAAGAAAATAAATGAGAAATACAAATCTCTCATTGGCTGCCTTGTTCTTACAGCTGTGACAAAGCTGTGTAAGTCTTTGTAGCCCACATGAGACAGGGCCCTTCATGATTTAAACTCCCCTGACACCTCTTTTGGTCTAAGGCTTTGGTCTCTCTGTGCACATTATTAAAACTGTAAAAACTCTACCACCGGCTGTGAACTAAATTTATTATTTCCGAGAATTCATTCTTCTAAGTAAAAATATTCCTCCAGAGCTGGTCATATTTGCCCAGGAGCTAAGATATTGTCAGATGTGTTGAATCGGTATAAAAACTGAATAGATTTTTCACAGTTAAGGTTTATAGTTTGCGGGCTCCCATAAATATGATAGTTAACTAGAAATGAATAGTAGAAATGTAGAATAGGTTGAAATTTATTGGACTGTCAGCTGGAGCAGACCAGTCATAGGGGAAATTCTCTTATATTTACAGAATAATTCCCTAGACCAGTATTTTAATTATGAACCAAATTGTCCAGTCATGTTTGTCTTATTTGGGCAGTTTTACATTTTACACTATGGGATATTTACTAAGGCACTAAATTACTAGTGCAAACTGAAAAGTTGCATGTGTTATTTGTGGGTGTGTTGATTTTCCATTAGAAACTGCATATCTTATTCCACTGCAATTCTAACATGTAAATGAGAGTTTAGTGTCTGAGCCAAAGGACTGTGCTGTTTCTGCTCTGGGCGCACATGCAGCATACAGAATGATAACTTTGCTCACTGTCATGCCCTTTTCATATGTAACATTTCCTATAGTCATTTAGCCTAATACAATTAAAACTATCTTAAATTTTTATTTTTTTAATCATCAGCTTTACACCGTGCTCATTGCAGTTTCATGCACGTTGTCTTGTCGTATCTAGAGCCAAATCTAAAGACGAATAAAGGAGAAACAGCTGATGCACAGGAGAGACGTGTTTGGAAACTTACTGTACCCTACTATAGAGCTGGTGGAAATGCCGAGTCTGGGAGCTGCATTAGCGTAAGAAAAAGTGTGCAAACAAAGGCGCTGCATACATTTACTATAAATGTACACATCATCATAACATCCTGACATAGTTCTTATAGTTCTTCTACTCTGTAATAGCCAAGTTGTAGTAGTTGTAAGATGTTATGAACTGGCTGGATGTCACCCTTTCATCTTATAATAACTAAATTTAATATATGGCCCTGTCTATAAGCTTCTGAAAGTACTCATTATTAAAAAGCCTTCTTTGTCCAAATGAGATGAGAATTGACGGGGGAGGGCTGAAGGATAATATGAAACATATGGTGCATTAGGCGATGAAGGTTTACTAAAGATGATTACACATGTTCAGGTTTAAGGATTAAAACACAGCATTTCATTAGCACATGTTGCACAACCACATTCAAGTCAATGAAATTTCAGTCACTGAATAGTGCTATCTTTTATTTTTTTATGTTTTAAGTCTTTTACAGAGTTTGAAGTTGGCCTAATCACATGCATTCAGTTAACAGAAATGCTGCAAAATTATAATATATGATTTATTTGTTTTTTAATTTCATTTATTGGAAGTCAACATTTGATTTTCTTGCACAGATCTATTTATGCGTTATCAACTGCCAACCGTAGTTTGACTGCTCATGTGCACAAACACATCTAACCACCACAGAAACATTCCAGTATTAATCACACTTTGTTACACATTATAAATGTACAGGCTGGTAGTCTAAGTTGAGCAGCAATTTAGAAAGGATGGGGTTACTGTAATCAGATTACTTATTAGTCACGTAGTAATCTACAATTAATAGTCCTGCAACTTTTAGTCAATTTTTCTTGATCAAAACCTTGTGCAATCTATGCAACTGTGCCGTAAAACAGTAAAAAATATATAGAAGAAGCCTGTGATGTCGGGGTGACAGATGAAGATCAGCTGTGAACTGAAATAAATAGAAATATTGGTTTGCTGTAGTTTTTTGGAAGTTACTGCTAAATAACTGTTAAATAATAATAATATGTTAAATTAAAATGAAATTACTTATTACATTAAAAATTTAAGTAATAGAGGTAATAACTTAATTATATATATTTATGTATAAGGACTATCGGTGTTCATTAATCAGATTCATTTTTGGTGGCATGTTTTTCAGAACGGCCGAGGTTATCTGATGAAGCAGTCATTTTGATGAAGTTGCCTAAATGGAAGTTACTACCAGACTAGAGATTAGTGGAGATTTTTAATAGTGATAAAATCTTGTGACATAAATCATATTGGCACCACACTTGGCATTTACATACAGTACTTGTCTCATCATGAACAGGAAGACAAATGGGTACACCTGTAGAACCATGACAGAGACTCCTCCTGCTGGTGAGGAGTGTAATTACAGTTAATCCATAAATACACTGTATTGTATGCTGTCTAACTTCTGGCAGTTCCTCTTGGATTCTCAGAACAGCCTAAATTCCTCTTTCTCTCTGCAATACACATAAAGTTCAGATCTTTATCTATATTGTGCCTCTGAGGCTTTGGTAAGTCACATGGGCACCCTCTACCCAGCCTCCTGGAAGCAGGTTTACCACAACAAAGAGGGCTTCACTGCAGTCCTGTGCATGTGAACTCAGTAGGACTGTTATTGACCATGAACATGAGCTTTACATACACTTACATAAATCTGGATATAATATTTATGAAGTTCAACATTTGCCTGCCCAGGTGGAAACTTGGGCTATAACCTGGTACAATGCATCTCTCCTATAAAGGTTAATGTATGTTGTCGTGTGCACTGTTCTTGTCTCTTCAAATCAATAAACAAAAACATTAACTTTGAGGTAGGCCTGTCACGATAACTTATTTCAAAGCATGATATATTGCTACAGATATATACTGTGATAAACGACAATATTGAAACTACTTTATGTCACTGACACAATAACAAGAACACAAGAATATTCATCACCACTCATTTAGTTTGAGACCAGCTTTATGAAATTGCCAGTTGGTGTGTCATAAACTTTGGTATAAACTGAACTGAAATGACTCATTTTTGCTTCTAAAATTCTCACAATGGTTATATTTTAGTTTATGATTGATTTGATCTTTTTTTTTTTTTAACAAGTTAATATTTATTCTCATGTTTGTGTCTATGGCAAATCCCCAAAGCACAGTATGCGCCTCACTTCATGGTTGTTGCTATATATGTTTTGTTTAACTTGTATCCCCGCTATCTACTCACTCCAATGGTTTTCTCTCCTCCCTCGCTGTTCTGTCTTTATCCCCCTCTCCTCTCCTCTTTCTGTCTCATCCCATGTTCTCGTTCACTCTCCTCTCCCCCCCTCCTCCTCTGTCCACTCCCTCCTGTCCCATAGTGACAGGAAAGCCCTTTTTCGTTGTGTCCAGTTTCTCTCATCGCTGGTTGTTTGGATGGGAGGGCTGCTCCTTCTACGGCTGGGCGGGTTTCTTCTTTGGCTGTGGCAGTCTCATCACCATGACGATGGTCAGCTTGGACCGCTATCTGAAGATTTGTCATCTCAGCTATGGTATGTGCAAGTATAATCTTCTCATCCAAATTATGGATTTTAGTTAAGACTGTAGGAGATATAAGGACGTCTTGACCAACTAAAGAAATATACCTATGCATTCATTCATTGACTATAAGAAAAAAAAATAAAAAATTTGTAGTGTATTTAAAAGTAATTAAAAAGGTTTACAATATCAATGCCCTTGATATAATACAGACTAATTTAAATTGCAACTGAATAAATTGTCATATTTCTTTCTCCAAATTCTGAACTCATGCTTTTACTGACAGAGGATTGGCTGTGGACGCCTTAATTAAAAAGACCCAAGATGATCATTGACAATTAGAGATCACTGAAGCGAGATATTTAATATTGACAATTAGAAAATCAATATCTTGATTCAGTTATCACTGTTAATTTCATACGGCCCTACGATGACCTTGACCGTATCTAACCCAAACTGTTCACACATTTACAACTCTACTTAAAGGTGCATTGTGTAAATTTCATGATGGAGGGCCCATCATCAGCTTGTTTCTATGGATACATCACTGCTCTGTCTATAATATTCCACATGATGATATTCATCAGCTCTGCCTTACATTTATTTATTTAACTGGTGGTTTTATAGCTCAAAAATACTGAGAAGAACAGGCATTCAAACTGTGAGCAGGGTCACCTCTCCATAGATCTAACCTGTAATTCGGTCTGGTTTGGTCTTCATGAAGATAGAAAGGTTTAATATCATACTGTGAAACATTCCAGACGAAGCAATAGCATCTTCATGGAGAAAAGCATTTGATGAACCCTCCACCAGAAATGCTACACAATGCACCTTTAAAGAAGAAGAAGAAAAAAAAAAGTAGAATTAAACAGTGCAGTCATTCCAAAAAGTACAATAAACTAAAGACGCCTCCTTTCTGTTGTGGTTAGTACATACCATTTTAAACCTAATAAAATATTCACTTGACTAATAAAACCTTTGTTGACTAAGAAGCTTTTGACTGATACTTAACTACTTTTTCAAAGGCATACAGCCCTTTTTTCACTGACTTGTGCTACTAACAACTAAATGAGTACTTTATGATACATTTTGCCACGTTTCAAGTATGTTTTCATCATTAATAAGCCCATTGAGTAGCCTGGAATTGTGTATATTGTATTATTAGCCAGGCTGGCGCCACTTAGTGCCTTCGCTCTATTTCATTTCTCTCCAGCGACTAGGTCAGGAATCAGAATACACTGGATGGTTTGCAAGAACTCTGGAAGTGCGAGTTCGGGCACCAGCCAATCAGCAAAGAGCCATATATTCTGTGTTAGCAACGATTCCTGAGATCGAGGATTTAATGCCGGAATAAAGAGAATAATTGGTGAATTTCATCAAGGGGAAAGATGTTACTGCCACTTCTTCCTATGGGATTTGGGAAAAACTTAATATACCAGTTAGCCCCATTAGCGGCGCATTACATGCATCACGACCAAATAGCAGCGACTGGTTAAATGATAAGGTCTTGCGAGGTCAGATGTTTTCTATGAAGTGAAATGAAGTGAAACTGGCTGATGAATCAGGCTATTGCATTGTAGCTAATACCACAAATGTACTAGAAGGTCTTGATGAGTTGACAGAGTAAGTACAGACAACCAGCATGTTCAAAGTATGCATATTAAGTTACTAATAGATATTATTTATATATTAGAGTAATTACCAAAAAGTTACCCTGACATTTATCCTTAAATGTGGTCTACAACCTTTAGTCAATTCTAAAGACCCTAACTGTCAAGTGAAAAGATTATAAAGACACTAAGACACTGACCGCTTCATTTGCTGGTTTCAATTGACACCAGTTCTCAATATAAATCAATAGAACTAAATTAAGGCACAGTTCAGAGTACTCAAGGAAGTCTGAAATCAGCATTAGAGAGAAACCTCAGTCATGACATTTGTTTACTCTCTCAACTCTTATAAACTCTCTTCCCAAAGTTATAGTTAACACAAAGGCATCCATCTTCCTTATCAGTATTCACGAGTGAGTCTCTTCTGTGACTGGCTTCCCACATCTTATCTGACACATGTGATTTATGGCATGGCACTAATGCAGTCTACGTCACATGGATCTAATGAAGTTATATTAACTGGAACCTGATTTAAATACCCATGAAGTTTAGTTAATAGATTGATATAGTTGTTCTGAATATCTGTCTATGGAAGAATAATGACAAACGATTAGCACTCTGAGAAAAATGAGTGAGGCTTCTATCTGTGTACCTAGAGCAAGAAGAATTTATTTTTTTATTTGAGTAAGTTATGGGATTGTGTAGGCTTATGACTAGGACCAAGATTAGATTTGGATAAGGCTCCGAGGTGCTATGTTGCTCAAAGGCATATTTAGACTTGTTGATTGATCCACGATTAGCACAGTGGTACTTCCAGCTAAACAGGAATTCTATGTATTTCAATGGAGAAATCATGTAGCAAAAATATAATATTTATAAATTAACTTGATTTGTGTAACTTGTATGTTGGTGTCTTGAAAAATACTTTGTAGTCTGAAATTGGCAGCTATATTTTAATTAATGCTTTCACAATGATAATGACGGCAACTTCCAGAACCTAGACGGTATAAAGAAGTGGAGTGTGACGTCACCCATAATGTTTGGCTCCAGTCAAATGAAGCTCACAAGGCAAACAAAAACGAATTAGGAATAGGAATTTATTTATGTACAAAATAGCCAAATAAAAAAAAACAAAAAACACCAGGATCATGTAGCATGGAGCAGTCACAGTGAGAGAGGTGACAATTTTTCATTGTAAAGTCAATTAGGCCAGAGTCGATGGAACAGAAAGTGCCCCCCAAGTTCATGTCCTATATGGAATGTGCCGGTGAGCAGGTTAGCTATGTCCATTTATATATACTGTCTATATTTCAGAATAAGGTCAATATCACTGATGCCAGTATTAGACCATGTTACCCATCCCACAGTATAAAATTTAGTCAAATGTATCTAAACGTGAAAAAAAAAAAAAAAAATTCTGTAAGTGCTATCTCTTGCTCCGACAGGCACCTGGCTGAAGCGGCACCATGCCTTCCTGGTGTTGGTGTTTATCTGGGTGTATGCTGCGTTTTGGGCGACGATGCCCCTGCTGGGCTGGGGTCACTATGCGCCTGAGCCCTTTGGGACCTCCTGCACTCTGGACTGGTGGCTGGCTCAGGCCTCTGTGTCTGGACAGAGCTTTGTCGTGTCCATCCTCTTCTTTTGCCTCATCCTCCCCACCATCGTCATTGTCTTCTCTTACGTCAAGATCATCTTTAAGGTGAAGTCCTCTGCAAAGGAGATCACCAACCTAGATGCACGCATCAACAAAAGCCAGAACCTGGAGATGAAGCTCACTAAGGTATCTAGATACTATGGAGAATTATTGCAATGACAGTATTCAGATAATGTAAATAACAACCTGTAAACAATGTGCCTGTAGATGTCTTGTTTTGGTTTAAGTGAACTAAAATGGAAAGTGAATTAACCACAAAAAGGACAAATCTTAGACCTTGGAGATTGTTTTTAGTTTTATATTTTATTTTGTATAAGGACTATATGTTTATTCACTTATAGCGGTCTTTTTTATTTTATTTTCAGTTATTGAGTAAATCCTTGGCATTCCAATTTTGCACATTTCAAAAACAATTGTGATGTGTATTTCTTGATGCAATTTCTACTTCAAGTCTTGTCACAGATTTTGTCACAACCTTTCCTGGCAACCAAATTCAAATTAAAAAAAAGTTTACTGTCAAGTCTTCAAACGAAACATGAAGAATCAAAATTCGAAAGTCAAAGTGTTCTTTGGGGAGACGCAGATTCTTAGCTTCCTGGCAGTCTGGTGGGTAGAGAGGGGAGAGAGTTCAGCATCCTAACAGCCTGGTGGATGAAGCTGTTAGTGAGTCTGGTGGTGCAGGAACAGTACCTGTACCTCCTCCCGGAGGACAGGAGGCTGAACACATTGTGTGCGGGGTGACTTGCATCACTTGTGATGGCTTTGCGGGTGAGGCGGGTGGTGTATATGTCTTGTAGGGAGGAGAGTGGTGCACCAGTGATCTTTCCGACTGAGTTCACTATGTGCTGCAGGGCTCTCCTGTCATGGTCAGTGCAGCTTTGCCCCACACAGTGATGCAGCTGAAAAGTGGTTCCTCTATAGAATGTGGTCATGATGGGTTTTGAGGCCCTTGCCCACTTGAGTTTTCTCAGGCAGTAGAGGAAGTGCTTAGTCCTGCTGACATTCAGCTGGAGGTTGTTGTCTCTACACCACATGGTCAGAAGGTCGACCTCTTTCATGTAGTGAGTCTCGTTGCTCCTGGTGATGAGACCCACCAGAGTTGTGTCATCCACGAACTTCACAAGGTGGCTGGTGCTGTAGGTTGTTATGCAGTCATGTGTCAGGAGGGTGAAGAGCAGAGGACTAAGCACGTAGCCTGTGGTTTCTGGCTGAGGAAGTCTAGCAGCCAGTTGCAGAGGGATGTGCAGAGACTCAGGTTCTTGAGTTTGCAGATGAGTTGTTGTGGTATTAAGATGTTGAATGCTGAATAAACTTCTTTGGGCAATTAATTCATAAATATCAAGGCCAAATATTCAGTGTTTGTGCTGCTCTCATACAAAAGACCAACGTCAGAACTTTTAAAATCTGTTTTTTGTATATTAAAGGTGAGGACTAACAGAGCTGCATAAGGTTCTTCCATTATGGATGGACTTTTATTATTGAATGCCTTAAGTACTTTAAAATTTGAGTGAAGTTGGATCAAGTTTGTTTTTAAATAAATGGAGACAAGTATGTAGGAGATTGAATTACCTTTGAAAACATGTGATACATATTTAGATTTTTTATTTCTCAATGTCTGTATTAGAAATACAAAATACTTCAAGGTCCTATATTACACAAAACTGACTGTTGTTAGCTTTAAGCCATGTTATAATGTTCTTAACTCACCAAAAACATACCCACAGTTGTCTTTTGTTTCATTCACACATGTTTGAGTAACCCTTATTATTAGTCTGTCTGCATCTCCAAAGTTCAAAATGCTCTGTTCCAACTTGTGATGTCATGTAGTGGTAGTTTGCAAGTTCACAGCTACATTTTACCTTTACTTTAGTAGATATTGGAATCATTCAAATGATTCTAGTGAAGGTGTATGGAGTTTAAAAACACAGTGGAGCACTTTCTGTATTAAGCACAACTCCACGTATGTTTGTGATGAGAAAATATTATTCTAATAATCAGAAAATAGTGTAACATAGGCCTTTTAATGTACACATATTTTCTGAAAAACTGTACAGTCTTGGTTTTATAAAGTTCTTTCCCTACTTGCAGGTGGCCATGCTGATCTGTGCGGGCTTCCTAATAGCTTGGATCCCATACGCGGTGGTTTCCATGGTGTCGGCTTTCGGAGAGCCAGACTCTGTCCCCATCCCTGTGTCCGTCATCCCCACTCTACTGGCCAAGTCCTCAGCCATGTACAACCCCATGATCTACCAGCTGGTGGACCTCAAGAAGTCCTGCGCTAAGTCCTCCTGCTTCAAGGTCCTGGAGAAACGCAGCAGCTTCCGGAAGTCCAGGTATAACATGAGGGGAATGTGTCTGACAAGAAGAGGTCCACACAGGAATATTCTGGCTTCTGTCCCGTTCAATTTGATTATAAACTTAACAGCATCAAAAATAGTCATTCTAAAATATAAGAAAACATAGAAACATGGTCTGGGCTGGTTCAAATCTATGACATTTGTGGATCATTATTTCATATTTTGGATCTTTTAAACAGTTATTTATTAAAAAAAGAAAAAAAAATGAAAAAGGTCATCTGCCTCTTCATGGTCATCACAGAAAGTGCTGCCTATGGATAGCTGCAGTTCACACTAGTAAACAGCACGTTTTTTTTTTTTTTTTTTTAAAGTAATGGCATTTTGATATCAGGACAATAAAGATATGCATGAATCATTCTAAATACAACTTTGAGTGTATAAATGAGAAGAGAAAGCAACTATAACATGGTTGAAAGCTCTTAAATGGCATCTTTCCCCTTGAAATGAATTTCCCGTGGTCACAATTGACTGGAGCGTATCCAAAACAACAATTCAATCTCATGTTCATTCTGAGGTGAGCGTGATATTTGATTGAGGATTTCTTGAGGAAAAACTTATGCTTGCCTTTGCCATGGTTCCTGCTAGAATAATGTTATGATGCTTGTCTTTCTGAAGGTATTTAGTAATGCATCATCATTAATTATGCATTCTACAGATGTTTAAAGTGCCCTATGTAACTTTTTGGTTGGGAGTCCTTCACCTGCTTGGTTCTATGGGTTTGTTGTTGCTCTGCTTGGAATGTTCCACAGTATGACATTACACAGCTCTACCTTACATTTATTCAATTACAAGTGGTTTGATAGCTCAAAAATAATTAGAAAAAAAATGGATTCTGACTGTGAGCGGGGTCACCTCTCCAGATCTGATCTGTAACTTGGTCTAGTTTGGTCTTCATGAAGACAGATTGCTTTATCGTTTGAACAGACATTTATATTATCTGCCTTGATTAACTACTCAGTGTACATCAATGAAGTAATAATATATAATCAAAGGTGAGTACATTTATTTGAAAAACCTCTGACTAAAATTGTACTTCATAGATCAGAAACTCTTAGAAACAGTTTCCTTGAGTAAATGTTTTGATCATTCTTTCGGATATGACAAAAAACTTTATTTGGCAATATATATTTTTCATTAAATTTTATGATCTTTTTTTCTGAAAATACTAGATGTTATGGATTATTTAATGCTTTGTCCTTCCAAATACATTCACTTCAGAGTTGAAACAGTTTTATCCGGACTCATACAACAACTGTGACATGAATAGCAGTTTCTCAAAATACTTTTTAACCAATACTTTAATATTTTTTGGACCCTTACTTTTGTACTTTTTGAAGCATTGGCACTATCATCATTAACACTTAACATAGGGTGATTTGGCATGTATTTTGAGTTGTTTACTTGTAGCCTGCTTGTCACACTAACTATGACATACTGTGGTGCGTATATTGATTTGAATCACTTTGGATTTAAGAACCACATCGACCTGTAGTGGCGGTAAATGCAGCATTACTCGGATGATCTCTGGCTGTTCTACCCACTTCTGTGTGTAGTAATTATAAGTGTCAAAGTTCAGTTTGGGATGTGGGTTTTCATCACATTTTCAAGGTCTTCCAGCAGTAATGGCTTCCCAAGCACTCTCCTCCACTTAATTTTAGAGCAGTTTCTTGTGAGATCCTAACCTTCCAGGCAGTGTTAACACAAGTCTCAGAGAGTGTGGAATGTGCCAGCTGCTTAGACTTATATGAACAGCTAGACCACTTCTCTGCTTTCCATTTGTGGATATAGTAAATTACAGCTTTCATCTTAATTCACTTAATCTCAAAGAGTATTTTATTATTATTATTATTTTTTTTTTCCAGTTTAGACAGACTGTAAGAGTCCACTAACCTCCTTACATTTAAGTTCATTGATGGGTCTTAACTTCCTCTTTATAGACTGCAACATTTGAGGACACTTCACCAGTCAAAAGATATTATTTTGTGACTTATAAAACAGAAACAGGTTTGAAGTGGTCCAAAGTTATTCATCTTATTCTTATGCATTCTGAGGATCCTAATAATTCACTGTGATGACAAGTCTTTAAAGAAAAGGCAACTCAAAGACCAATGTGGTGTTGTGATAAGAAATAAAAACAAAAACAAAAAAAGAATTATATGACACACAGCAGTTTATATTGACCTCAATTTTGACCTTATTTTAAGCTGCTTATACAATATGTCTGTACTGTGGCAAGACAAATTTCTGCTCAGATACATGGGAAAAAAATTATCTGTGGCATCTATCTACACGGCGAGAAGCAGGTGCCAGCAGCAGGCCAGGTTACAGGTCATTATGTACTTTGGTTGAGAGCGGTGAGAAGGAGTGTATTGACAGTTGTGAGTCCAATTAGCTTGGTGTGAAAAATCTGATACAACACAGTAGGTTACAAACACAGGAGCAGTATCTTTAATATATATGCCAATTTATTACTCCTGGATATCCCCTAACCCCTGTGCTTTTTCCTGTACAGATTTTACTCCATTGCGGGCTCACTAAAGGACACAGCAGTCAAAGACTCTCCTATGGAGATGTGAGCGTTGGCACTGACTCTCCCCTGGGCTCCCCCTGCAGCCTGTGGACCTGGCCTGCTTTGCCTTGCTTCCCGCTCACCTGCCCTCCTGCCTCTCACACGCTGCCTACACATGAAGCGTCACCCTGGGGTCCTGCGCCCATCTGCCCCCCCACTCACCATTACACAGACTCTAGTGTACAAACCACCTCGTGATTTGTGAGCTTTCTAGATGTTTCTCAGCACACTGCCCTATGGTACAAGAAAGACTCTGAACACACTCAGGCTGAAAATGTGAAATTATTTTCCTAATTGATATTGACTTTGTAAGTGAAGACAGAGAATCCTACGAATGGTTTCAGGAGTATATCTGTTGCAAGTGCAGGTCACCATGTTGTGTTTTCCCATTGTGGCTGAAGACTTACATCATTCATCTGAATACATACATGTTTCTATTTACATATATGTTTACAATGACAGTTGTGTCTGAACATAACTGATGGCTTGTTTTTGGGCCAAAGTAATCACTGGGTCTTGTGCCCCTGTATACAGAGCCTGAATGTTCAGTGCTGAAATGCACTGAATGTGTTTTAGATTATTCCATACTAAGCCAAAGTGTTGACAATATAACTCATAAACAACATAAAGCTTCCCTCAGCCTCAGGTGTAAACCAAGCTCTTGAAAATAATGTCACCTAAATTATTCCATTTGGGACATATAGCCACCCCTTTTTATCCTAAAAATGATGAACTCATAAATGGAATTCCTGGATATAATTTCCTAAAAACTGATTTATATGGCCCCAATAGAAAATTACTATGCCCACCGCCTGAATCAGACTTGTGGTGATTTGTTTGCCGTGTCTCAGTGAGTAAAGCTCCAAGTAAACATTCCACATGAAGCCCTCTTTGTTCTCAGTGTTTGAACATGTCCTGAGCACCTGCCCAACCCTGCACTCCCGCTGCAGCAGCGCCCCCTGTGATCCAAGTGTGTCCTGTAGACATGTGTACTCACAATTGAATGTGTTCCATGATGTATTGTAAAGAACACTTAAGTCACATGACATAGATAACTTTGAACTTTGAACTCTGAAAGTGGATCAATCAGAACAAAACATGAGACACTTTACTGAGTAAGACCTGTGTTGACTGTCAAGAGAGCCACTTTGTTATTTTCCCCTTTCTTTGACCAGTTTCACTCAATATGCAAACCCTGTGTGTGATTGTTTTTGTATATAATGCTCCACATGATTATTTTGTCTTGTCTGTGTAGTTCACCCATTGGTCATCCAGCCCCACATAGAGTTGTGTTTGAAACGGCAGCCTGTGTCACAGATGTCCAGTGCATCACACAGAAGCTTATGCTCAGTGGGTATTCTGATGAAGGTCACATTCTTCACTCATGGTTTTATTTCTCATCCTTAGATTCTTTAATAGTTATTATGTCTGATTTTACACTGGAAAACTCAATTTGACCAAGCAAGACTAGACCAGACTAGGAAAGGAAAGGAAAATGAAAAGAAAAGGTCTGGCTGCTCTAGAAAAGCAAAAACATACTTTGAAAGTATTTTGAATAAGAACATAAAAAAAGCTATTGAAAGTGTGTTAATGATGTATTTATAAATAGTACCAAGGTCATACACACATACAGCTAATTGTACGCTTTGGTTTGGAGTGTTGCCCTATATTGATAGTACAATTACACATTAATATATGCCATATTAAATTGCACTATTTGTACTTGTGTAGATAAACTCATTGAATTGTGCAATAACTGATGTAATACTATTGTAATGTGTGATGTATTTGGATTATAAGAGTCACCTCCCACAACAGCAGTTTTTTTTTTTTCTTTTTTTATGTTACAGCTTCTCAAATTGAATGAGAGTTATTACAAGAAGTAAGAAGGTCATCACTCTGATCAAATATGTTTTCAATAATGATCATCTCTCTGTGACAATCACAAATTGAAGGTACAGTCCATATTGTGAGTCATTCATGCGTTTGGGTGATGTGAATCCATTGCTCTCACTGTTGATAGTAGAGGAGATGTGGATGGGCTGGTGTTATGTGGACATACTGACTCAGGTCTTCAATCGATGGTTCAATGAAATCTGGAGCCTCTTTGCACACACATGTAGTCTTTAATGATCCTTTTTTATCCTTTGTCTCAGAATGTATATTTTTGTGCTTTGTATACCATTGGTTTGTACCTCATGTGTAAGCACTATGTTATTTCTGTGAACATTTCATATACATGGCTGTTATCATAAAGATAAGCCCAATGAACACCAAGGAAACACAAATAAACTATTTCACTACATTTCTGCAAAGCCACTTCTCTTCTGATTTTGAATTTTGGTGCAGGGGCTAACAGATGTGGTAGCCTGATTTATTAGCTGGTTTCACTTCGTGTAAACCGTCTGACCTCACAGCATTAGTATTCATTTGCTCGAAGGTAGGCAGGTACTTTTTTCATTTAACCTATCTCTACTATTTGGTCATGACGTGTGTAATGCGCTGTTAATGGGGCTAACTGGTATATTAATCTTTTCCCAAATCCCATAAGAAGGGCAATAACGTCTTTCCCCTTGATAAAATTCACCAAACATTTTCTTTGTTACGGCTTTAAATCCTCGATCTCGGAAACTGCCAACACAAAATATATGGCACTTCACTGATTGGCTGGTGCCACTTATGGGGTTTTTGCGAACCGTCTGGTGTATTCTGATTCCTGACCTAGTCGCTGGAGAGAAATGAAATTGAACGGAGGCACTAGGTGGCACCAGCCTGGCTACTGATGTGGAGCCAGTCAGATAAAATACACATAAGCAAAACAAATAACAGACTTTAAAAAAAATAAAGTCAGATATTATAGTAATACACACAGCATGTGTTTTTCAGATTTTTTTCTTTCATATTTTCCCAGAAGCCTTTCCTTGCTGACGCAGATAAAGATTATCATGAATAATTGCCCTGCAATTTGATGTCACGTAAAGGCCACTGTTTCAGTAAATACAAGGGTAGCTTTGTAGCAATCTTCTTCTGGTTTTACACCTTATCATAAAAGAGTACTGTCATTGGAACACAGTCTACTGTATGTGAGGCAAAGGTAGCAGTTTGATTCTGTGTGGATTAGTCACATGGGATCCAGATATCCCATTCACATTCTATACACAACTATGTCACAAGACCTTATCAGTAAAGACACTGCAGATTACCTAAATTGAAAATAACAGGTTTTCATGTTTTTTTTTTAAATAATTTCTTTGCCTTTAAATATTTAATATTTAATAACCTCTACATAAGGGTTTGTTGTGCAGCAAATAGTTTTCTTTTTTATTCATTACTGAACTTTTTTGAAAGAGTACACACTTTTGTCACTGTGTATTTCCTGCTTCTGGTTTCTTTACTATAGCTGATCTGTGACTTACCACAGCAGGCGGTTCAATCCTCTTACCCAATAGTGCACCTTACCTTGCACTGCCTGGAGCTGAACACCAGGATGAGGTCTGGTTTAATGTGAGTGTGAAATCAACTCACTCCAAAGTTGGTGTTGCACTTTTGATTCCAGCCCTGAGGTGCCATAACTTTAAATCATCACTGAAGAAAAAAGTTTGGCTTCATTTGCGCAGGATAGATGTTACACATGAAATGTTTTAAAGAATGAGGAGAGACATTCAGCATATTGTGTAAATGTGTAATTCCAAACTGACTGAGACCTGCGCAATGAGACTTTTTTTTCCTCTCTGTTTTATTTATTTGTTTTCTTTAGCTTTTATTGGAAAACCACCATGTTTGTTTTAATATGGACAGACTATGTTTAATATGAATATAGGATATGAAAAGTGCTGACCGGCAAAGACAAGACCCTCACATGTCCTACAACCTAAACCACTCTAGATTATTATGCAGTTCTCTTTTCCTTACACCTTAAATATTTTCTTACTCTCATGAAATTCAGTTGCCTTAGAACCACACAAGGGCTAGTCGCAATTAACAAACTACAATATTTGTCAAAAAAAAACAACCCACAATCTTTTTAAGAATACTAGAGAGCATCCAAAGCATAGACTGTATAAAGAAGTGTGACGTCACCCAGTGTTCAGCTCCAGTCAAATGAAGCTCACCGAGGTTGGCATAAGGGCAAATTTGGAGCAGAATTCCTAAACAGAAATAGGAATTGATTTACAGACAAAAAAACTGAATAAAAACAAGTTGATTTACAGACAAAATAGCTGAATAAAAACACCAGGATCATGTAGAGTGAGTTAATATGAATATTTTAAAACCAGAAAATGAGGAGCCTGACAGCAGCAGTTCAGGGGTGACTTTTTTTAATATAAAGTGAAATGAAGCGCCCATGCACACATCCTATTTAGAATATGTCGGCTAGCGGGTCATCTATGTACGTTTACACATAAAGTATACAGGCTATGGTCCCAAGGGATAGAAGTTATAATTGGTTGCCACGGTAGCATGTTAGCCTCTGTTTCTATGAACAGGCATACATTTTTTAATGTTTTATTTTATGATCTAAGTTGAAAAAAGGCTAGCAGGTGACTTTTTTTTGTTTGTTATTTCTGCTACATGTTAACTAACCCAAAACATTTTCCTACCCTTAACTATTTTCCTTACTTTGGAAAGGATAAATGGTCACATGTTTATATGGCCCTGGATAAGTGGAAGAAAATGGATGGATGGATTTTTTATGGCGCTTTTCCACCTTCAAGACACTCAAAGCACTTTACATTAAGAAATCATTCATCCAATCATCAGCAACCTGTCATTCAGTGGATCTGACTTCTCTATCTTTGATGTGTATGTCAAGAGCAGGATTCAAACTGCCAATCTTGATCAGTGGGGAAACACTCCGTCAAATGGAGGGCAGGAGCTCAGTTGGTGAAAGCGTTTGTCTACTGATATTATGAGTTTCTGGTTGCTGTATAAGAAAAGAGGTGAGGACCACAAGAGCATTTTCCGGTTTAATATAAATACATACAGAGGTCTGGCTCTGTGTCAAGATCAGACAGTTTTTATATGCTGTGGTGGACAACAGGGGTGAAGCTCATGTCAGATGGAGTGATCAATACATGGTCAGGCAACAACTGTAGTCGCAACAACCAATGGTCTAACAGACTTACTCTCATACTCCTTATATGAAGCTGGTTTGT